ACTCGAAGGGGACGAAAGCAGTAAATAATCAGTCAATTTTGTACATGTATATGTTGTTCAAGATGAGCGAGTGAAATGAAATACACCTAATAAATGAAGCTGAATCCCATCCGTAATCCCCAATTCTCGTATAGCCTTTGAACTCTCGAATCTATGAATTCTCTACCACAGCATGTTTGCCTAATCCATTGATCACTGGTAGTCCAGCCTTTCTTCCAATACAAGTCATTTCGAAATTCGGTAACTGCAAATCGTGCAGACGACTGTCAAATATACCAGTCTTTTACCATATCAATTCAGTTGTACAGTAGAGTCTTTAAGACTACCTTATCTCAATATATCTAAGAAACTGAACGTATTGCATATTTTAAATACACATTAATAAAGTCAGTAATAGATATACATATTATTACTATGAAACTAGGTTTATGGTTGTTTATGTGCGTTTAACCATCACTGGTGTACAGATATTTATCCAAAAAGTAATACGAAAGCTCCTTTAAAATCTTTAATGCTCGTATTCAAATGTTCGTCACAAAATATAAAACACCTGCATCTCTATCTATTTGATTTTTTTCTATGAAAACAACGTAATAATCATGTTTGAAAATTGGAATAAGAGACCCATAACAAATGGTAAAGAATAAATTAATAGCGTTGAAACGTTTCCCTTCCCTTATCTAAGCAAGTTTAGCTGCAGCACAGACTTACGCCAAAGGGAAGGTAAAAAAAAATCTTTGCTTTTCATTCAATTAATATACCTGTATAAGTATGGTACGAGAAATTAAGATAACAACCATAAAGGATACGAGATGAGGGTAGTCTTTGCTGGTGTAAAATAATTCAGCAATGATAATATACAAAATTTAAGAAGACATGATAAAAAAATATAGCGTCGACGAATTCAGTGTACAGAACCTGGCAACTTTACTTAATCCTCACAATGCAGATTTAGGTGATATATTTACGCAATCGTGCTTGCGTGATTTCGTTTGTTTGTTATGGCCTTTGCAAACTGGATGTGACATAATTTACATCGGGATCCAAACTGAAAGCTGCCTTGATTTATAGATATTTTATATCCGATCATCTCTTCCACGTACATTGACACAGATCAAAATCATAACATGACATATCTTGTTTTAAAAAACTGCGTTTGTTTGTATCTTCTTTTCTGCTTTTAAATTGATATATTTTAATTGTTGTAACATTTTAAGTTTACGCTTGGTGACGCTCAATTTGTATAGTTAAGGACAGATGGTGGTATGACACAATAGAGAAATATCAGAACTATAAAATGATATGATGTCGATTTAATGCCGTGGATATGACAAATACACGATGACGCAATAAGGCAATAACAACAAAGAGGAACAATGTTTTCTATTCAATTAACCTCGTCCTCAAATTATTTACCTTTACAAGACTACAGTGGAATATCATGTGATTAAATATCCGAATTTCCTCTCAATAAATGATTTCTTTAATTACAAATGCACTGTTCTTTTCATTAAACCTTTATTAGTTCAAAGGTATCCTGTATGATCTTACCACCTTCATTTTTTTTCTTGTGTAAATTTTATATTGTATTTTATCGATATATAAAATTTGATCTCTATAGAAGGAACCTAATTAGTTTCCGTGAAAATCGTAAGAGATGTATGGCGACATATTTTGTACTCCAAAATACTCCCTAGATTTGACGTCAAGAAATTCCATCATACTTAAACATTTTTATGCTTCTTATTTGTATTTGTTTTTAAATTGACTGTTTAGATTGATAAATGTTTGTAACATGTAGGTCAATATTTCATTGTTGTATTGTAAAAAGAACTCATTCTTGTGGTACAAAAGTACTTTAATTTTATCTTGATATCAACTTTGTTAACAAGCAAGAATTTCCAACGCAAAAAGAAATTATAATATATTTAGCTACATTGTATAGCATAGGCGTCGGAACCGGGTGGTGGTGGGGTTGGGGGCTAGGGGGGCTTAGCCCCCCACCCCCTCCCACTTTTTTTCAAATATATACTTAGTATAGACATTGCACATATCTTCGTAAGTTAAGCCCCCCCCAAACCCTCCACAGATACGTCTTAGTATAGGTTAAAATTGGGAAATGTGTTGGTGATTGGAAGAAAATTTTTTTGGTACTGGAGTTCGAACCTACCCCCCCCCCCCCCTCCCTCACACACACACACACACACAAACACACGAAATAGGATTTTCGTGTTTGGGAAACAGACATTTCCCTTTTTTTTTTTGCATATCAGGTTTTTTTTTGGAGGTACAAAAAAAATTTTCTTACACCCCCCCCCCACTTTCAATTTGCTTCCGACGCCAATGTATAGTGTTTATTTTTTTAAAAGAGCATTTAACAGTCTTATGTCTACATGTAGTACATATATAGTACATATACATTCTTGTGTGTTACCTAATATGTTTATAGAACGCGGAACTCAAAGTAGGTTTACAACATTAGTTTCTCAGAAAAAAAACGAGTGCGTTCCTGGACACTACATGTATCTGTTTCCATGATTTTAGGAACAGATAAGGAAAGAGAGCTTCAAAAATGTTGATAAAGTTGAACAGATCAGAACAAAAACTGTACGTTAATTTTATATCTATAACATCTTGCATTGAACTATCAGAAACAAACAAAAAAAAAATACTTCATTGCACCTCCATAAACCATCTATGGTATTCTGATTAAATGTCCTATCTATTTTCATACTCTTTGTTATTGTCGATTTTATTTGTGCACATTCTTCAATATCAAGATATGAAGTAGTAAATATCCCTACTTCTTTATGCAATAAGTCACCGAATGACTATTCATGAAACTACAGGTTAAATACCATAATTATTCGAGGCAAAGATTTTTATTCTCAGAGAAAATGTCCATGAACCTAAACATGCATGCAAAAGAATCATGCTCCTTTAAGAAAAGTTTCTCTTTTTTCGAGATACAATGATACAATAAAAAAAAAACAAATATTTTGTATGCAAGAGAAATCACTTTATTTTATCATTATGTTCAGTTGTGATACGAATTCTACTCCTTGTATCCAAACAATCGTATCTAATTCACACAGCGTTTTACCCTAAGTGAGTGACTGATCTTACACAGAACTAAGTAAAAATATTATTTTTAACATTGTAACTCATTGACGTGTACCTAATAAAAATATGCGGAAATCACCTTTCCTAAAATTAGTCACTAAGTAGCATGGATGTGATATGGTAGGACTTATGTATTGCTGAAGCCTGGTCTTATTGTTTTATTTTACGAAAGAATGCATGTAATTATTATATATCAGTTACAGATTTAGTCATCTCGCATATTTGTATTCTGATGAAGTGTCTAGGTCATTGGATTTGTATTATACAGGTATGATACGAACATCAAGATACATACATGCATTGCTGATGGTTTGTTTTTTTTAAGTCTGTCATTTAAACTATGAAAAAACAAGATAATTATATTTTTTGGTGACGTTTAAATTGTATGGAGTTTATCAACCATCTTATGTTTACAATAGAGGTAGGATATAAATGCATAGACATTTAATCCATAAAAAATGAAAAAAAAATCATTCTTGTTAATCTGTTAAATTCCGCTAGAAAAATATCTCCAGCAATTCCTTTATGTATTTATATGTACTGTACGGTATACATGTATACATACATATTACTTTTTTTTAATTAACAATTAATTTTAGAAAGAGTTTCTTGAAATAATAAAAAAAAAAAAAAAAAAAAAAAAAACAATTCATTCGGTAACTTGTATCATTGTTTATAAAAAAGTAAATAAATAAATGAAAAACTTTATTGTAATAAATTTACATTCAACCTTGTTGGTTTGGAAAATAATTATACATTCAAAATTATTTACTGTATAAAATGCTTTATATCTGCTGTAAGAATGCTTAGATATTTTAATATGTTGTATTCCATGTATATATGTATGATTTTTACAACTTTATTTTCGAATATCACGAATTAAGTCAATATTGCGGAAAGCAAAAATACACTTTAATGTATATTTTTTTAGTCCAGTGGGATAAAAAAAACCCACAGAATTAGAAACAAAACATTATATAAACGAGAAAAAAAAAATAAAATGAAATTAAGTAGTAAAGGAACTGATGACACATTGCAAAAGGACTTACTATAAATTCTTTCAGGTAATAGAGTTTAGGTTATTGAATCTTTTAAAGATATTTTTTTCGGTTGGAAATAGTTGTACGGGTCGTTGTTCATATGACGTAATTTGATATTTTCATTATAATGGAGATGCAACTGAAATCTAACAAATGGAGGACCAAAATGCAAGCTGTCACTTTATTAACATTGCTTGATTACTCATTGCTTATATATTTTTTTATTTATTTTTATTTTATCAAATGATATATAAAGGGGTAAATTAATAGTCTTTTATCTATTGCAATTATTTTTATTCATTAGCATATCCTTAAACATATTGTTGAATATTTGTTTCCTTGATTTTTAGCATATAACAAGCACATTATAAAATGTTGTGATATGTAGATGTATCTTGTTGCATGTACGTAATTAAGCACTTTTCAATTGTTCATATCTAATTTAATCTGACAAGACTAATTCGTATGATTAAATTGTGCTTGACCTAAATTAGATGTTTAGATAACACACAGCACCTTTATTTTTAAAAGAATAAATCAATTAAAAAAACTGCATTCTTCAGCTGGCATTTCTAAATAATTGGAGTTTTTGGTTTGATTGCTTAATATCCTCATTTTTGTTTCTCGTTTCGAGCTTTATACAAGATACATGTACGTTACCAAATGGGGATCATTTTGTAACTTTACATTTAATTAATCCAAGGTAACAAGTAAGTGATAAACTCACTGATTCTTTTTCATATTTTCCAAGCTTCTTTTGCTCTATTATTAACCTCATTTTTTCATCAACACCAAATATACTAACGATATCATTTTTGTTCTATTGTGCAGGATGAAACAGCACATTTTAATCCAAAAACTCAAAGAGATTAAAGAATTTTTGATATATTATGAGAGTCTGTCGACAGATCTGAATGTGTGAGATGCTTGTACCAAAAGTATGAAAGTCAATGTTTAATCCATATTAATCATACAATGAGACCTTTCCTTCATTTACAATCAAAAATTATCAACACCTTTACGAAAGGTAAATACAAAATTGAATACATAATTCCAATATTCTTATTTTTATGTCCGTTTTCTTTTATCTTTTAAAGTATTCACTTTTTTCGTTTTGAAATCATTTTTATGCTTTTTTTCACTAAGGTTGTAGTTGTTCTGAATAGAAGCATACCAGTCTTTATATTTCTGCTGATAATTACAGAGGTACATTTTTTTTATTATTATCTATGAAAATTAATAAAAAAATGTTTGTATATTCATTAATTCATAGCATATTTATCTTCACTGACCTTTATTTTCATACTTTTTGTAATCTTTACGACTAAAAATAAACGTTGTTATTTTCATCTGGAATATGTGACTTTATCTTTTACGTTTTCTTTGCATTAGGTGAATGTGCACGTTACAATTCCTTCTTGTTTGACTGGTGTTAAAAGAGTCCCCACCTGTCCAAGGACAAAAAGAGCAATGGCTTGTATTGGAAGCGAAGAAAGGCTGCTCTAGAATTTCCCTTAAGTGTAATAACATGGCTCCTCTCAAATATCACTGTCTTATAAATGCATGGAGAAATGCGACATTTGAGTTATGTGGTCCAGATTCGGATATCATAGGTAATAGAAAACAAGGAATTTTAGGTTTTTCTTTACCGTTGATTGCTTGCTTAATTGAACCATATTTAATGTACATTTTTAAAGGGTTTTCCTGTGCTGAGTACAACGAAGGAGGGGAAAGGATTCAACCAAATTATGAGAATAAATGTGACAATTTCAGCAATCCCTGTCCATTTAAATATAAATCATCTTTGGGATATTTATGTATGTTCACCTATTCATCTTACTGTAAATATCTGATAGGACTTAAGAGACCTTGAAATAGACTTTGAAATCGCGAGAATAAATTAAAGTTTTCATAAAGATTTAATTAATATATGTAATTATTTTTTTTTCTTTTACATTTTGCATAAGCAGAGTAATAATGAATACCGTACACGTAATGAAAAAAATCACTTTTTAAAATGATCAATATTTATTCCGATAAATAGAATCAGAGTGTTTTATTCTACTTCCTGAAAACGACGAAGGGAAGGAAAAACATCCACGAAAAACTGAGATAAGATATTTTCCAGAACAACAAATGGAGGAACAAAGGTAAAAAAAAGCTCTATTCATATCAATACTAAAATTGTTTTAGCAGTTGTTTAAGAGAATGCAAATTAATTTAAGTTATGATACAAAATAGACTTTTGAATTCATGTACACGACATATCCCTGATTTAAATTACAATGTACCTTTTTACCCAGGTCAAGTTTTGCCAGTGCAACGCCTTTGTTTATCCTCTTCCTTTTCACTTTGATTGTTACTACCCACGTATGCATATATGTTAAAAGGAAACGAGATCTCAGAATTTTGAATAACTCAGGTAGTATACATTTTCAAATATTTTTAACTTGATAATAACCTTTTAGCTCACCTGAGATGTAAACTCAGGTGAGCGTCTTTTCTGATCATATGCTGTCTGAAGTCCCGTTGACTTTACACTTTTCACATTTTCGACTTCTTCTCAGGGACCACTGGGCCAATTTATAACAAAACTTGCTGCAAAGCATCCTTGAGTAAAAGAGACTCAATTTTATCTATGATTAGTCATATCTATATGAAAGCATCCTCAACTTGTGCAGTGTAGTTGAGCAAGGAAAGGGTCCCAATGTTAGTTCAAATGTAAAGGGCAATAAAGCCACAATCATGGAAATATACAAACAGCCTCAGTTACTGTAGATTCAAATTTCTAAAAATCATACCCTCTCCCCAGGCTCAGTAAGGGTCGGTTTGGACCATATTTTGGTTTGCACTTTCAAAGGTAAACTATTTTCTGCATTTTTTTCTAGCCACAATGCTAAGGTGAACAATTTGACCCACGGGTCTTTTGTTTTTGTTTTGTTTTAATATTAACATTTGATTAACCGAATTGAAAGTGTTACTTGCGAAAAGTTTAATTTTTTTAATTTCATTTCATAAAACACTTTAATTTCAGATTCCTACAGAGTATTAACTTACGGAAGCCCATTTAGGAGCTATCAAAAATATTTTTGAATTCGTTATAACGATTTTTAGAATTCGTTATAACGAATTTAATTTGTTATAACAGATTCATTGAATTCGTTATAAGAAATTTGATTTGTTATTACAGACTTCTTGAATTCGTTATAACGAATTTAATTTGTTATTATAGATTTGTTGAATTCGCTATAACTAATTAAATCTGATATAACAGATATGTTGAATTCGTTCTAACGAATTTAATCTGTTATAACAGATTTGTTGAATTCGTTCTAACCAAATTCTTGAATTTGTTATAACGAATTCAACAAATCTGTAATAACAAATTAAATTCGTTATAACAATTTCCACAAATCTGTAATAACAATTTAAATTCGTTATGACGAATTTAAGAATCTGTAATAACAAATTAAATTCGTTAAAACAAATTCAATGAATTTGTTATAACAAATTAAATTCGTTATAACGAATTCAATTAAACTGTTATAACAGATTAAAATCGTTATAACGGATTCTAAAAATCTGTTAAAACAAATTAAATTCGATATAACGAATTCTAAAAAATCGTTATAACGAATTCAAAAATATTTTTTGATAGGTCCTAAATGGGCTTCCGTATTAAATTATCATTTTTACTAAATTATTTTTTTTATAGATGATAGACAGACCACTGAGGTTGTCCTCTAAACTAATTGACGCTTTCATCATTATCCAGATATACAATGGTTTATGAAGATACTTGTACATAAACTGTAAAGAAAATGTAAACCTGATTCATTGAAAAACATAATCTGCTTTTTTGCTTCTCCATTTATATAATGAATAAATCTAATACTTGTTTTATCTTATTTATTCTTTAATGTATCCATGAAACAAATATTTAATCATATGAAAACAGTTTATTCAATATGTTAGTACCTGTTCAACGAACAAACAATTTCTTATAAACATAAATCAAATAATTTAATGAATGAAGAACATCAAAATTCATTCTAGTTTAAATTTAACATATCGCAAAGTCTATTATTGAATCAACAACATTATTGGTATAAACAATGTAATATTCAATTATGGTAAAATATTCACCAAAAAAAATATATTTCTCTAGTGAATGAAACATATGGAGATAAATTAAGAGAGTATTCAAGATAGTCCATACGTCCATGCAATACACACTAGGAGAAAAAACACGACCCCCAAATAGAGGTTGGATCATGTGCCATAGAGGATTGGGCATTTCCAACCGACCACTCACACCCGCCGTGTGCCTCTTGTCTTGAACAGGAAATCACGGAAAAATCTGTCGTGAATATAGTGTATAAACAATGAAGAAACTATTAGTATGAAAAACATCAGTCAGATTTTGACCCAATGTTAAATTGTATTTGCTGACAAGGTCATTGTATCGACATTGAACTTACGAAATGATGATTTCAACAAGATTGTTGATATTCTAGTTTCATTAATTTCTTTGTCAATAAATTCTCCTCGTTTTAGTAATTTTTATACGTAGTACATGCTCTTGTGTATAGAATCAACTGATGTACATTAACTCCATATGCAGGTGATGAAGGTATATTGCTGAATAAGTAAGGAAAGTTGACGATAGAAAAATATCCAAATATAAAGCAGATGTGTCAGACTTTGTGGTATCTTTTATCTCAAGCTGATACTAATATTTATTTCATCGGCATGGGATTGAAATGAAGAATTGTTGAGTGAAAATACATGTACGTCATCGATAAATTTAAATGTGGAGTAGAATGCCACTGCAAGTGTTTTCTTTTCTTTTCACAAATTCTGCTTCATATGAATACAAAGGTTGGTGAATGACTAATAAAAATCAACGTCAATCTTAAGATTCCATAATTGTTTTATAATGTAAGATTTGAATAAATAAGATATTGAAACTTGAAGGACGACACCATTTTTATTTTCGATCTTCCGTCGTTTAAAATAAAAAAAAATGTCTAGATTACAGTTTCTTACCTCCGTGTATTTTGTGTCTTAGTTTACTACATGTATATGTAAGACGTCTATGTTTAGAAATAAAAAAAGATAGGGTTTTTTCTCAAAATTTTCCCGCTATGATACTTTAGCTGGATGCGGCCGTTGCAACCATCGTTTACAGCTCTTATTTTGAGGTTTTGATTGTGACATCAAAATGCTTTTGCATGTTCACTGCAATCTGTCTCTGGTGTATGCAGTTTAATATCCGATGAAAATGTGGTGCAATGAACCGTATACGTTTGCATAGATTATATTGGGACCATAAGTAGCTAGATTAAATAACACATATTTTTAACTCAAATATTGAGCAATATTTTTCATGCAAATGGTAAGGTTAGAATATCTGCACTTAATCGATGCACGGTTTATTCGAAACGCATTACAAAAAGGCTGCACGGTTCAGATGCAAATTTTATACACGTACATGTACGGTACGAATTTTGATGCATCTAATGTGCATTTTGTCAAATTATTTTTTAGTGGTGCTCATGAAAAAAAAACGGGAAATGCGAAAGATATGAAATTAAAAATATCGAAGAGATGAAAAAAGGTCGGTCCCCTATGTTTGTTATTAAGTGTTAAAAGACCTTTTTTGTCTAAACATTTTGAGGTAAGGCATGACTCGAATATCCCAAATGCCTACATGTACATGCTTTAAGTCTTTAACATTATAGATATGGATATTCAAAGTACATTAATATTTGACTTTCTTTTCTTATTTCCTTTAATATAAGAGTTTCAATATTCTTTCGACTTTTATAATCCTGTATACTCCCTCATAAATAAATTTTAGACCTAGGAAATTCCAACAAATAAGAAAGGTTTCGTAGATATTTTAAAATAACAACTTTATATTTACGAGATTATCCAATAGTATTGTTACATTATATTTATGTGGGTTAAAGTATCATATATTATTTGTTAATATATAAGGATGATATATACACTGTGGAAAATAACCAACATTTTAATCAACAAGATCAATACTTTAATAAAGTTAAATAAAACAACACAATTCTTGTTTTAGAAAAAAAAAATAAATCGTACATGTATGTAACGGTGTACAAATTTGAAAATAAAACAATTTCAGTTAGTTATACAATCACTACTTTAATACGCAAAATCCACTGGTTTTTCAATCAAACTTGATTCTGTCTTAATTCAAAGGGGTTAAAATCAGCAAGGGCATCTTAGTTTCTGGAACAGTTTCTTTTTTTTTTGTTAAAAGGAGGTAAAAGCTAATAAGTCATGTAGAAGTGATATATGCATTTATTAATGTTAATGACGGAAAAGTAAAACAAAGCTTAAAAACAATAATGATCATGAGATGGATAAACGCTTTGCTGATTAGTTGAACACATATTTAGGCATTGAAAAAGTGTCAAATTAGCTCAATAAATAAACAGTATAACTGCATAGTAGAAAGCTATGTATGTTAAAGACACTGTTATATCATAACATTATTAAACTTGGACATGTCACATAAATGAAATAATTTGCAATAATTACTATATATTGTGTAAAATTTGACAATTTTTTTTCCATTCACAAGAATAATATTACAATAACATGTTATTATATATATAGAGAATAATACATACCCTTTTCCATATCACATCCTGTATCAGCCCGAGACACCAATATCAGCCAGAGGGCCGTAGGCCCGAGGGCTGATATTGGTCGAGGGTTGATACAGGATGTGATGTGGAAAAGGGTATGTTTTATTATATTTATTACATACTTAGTAATAAAATACAGTTGAGAAGAAAATAAGTAAATAATCATGCATGGACTTCTTAGATACATGTACATAGTCTAATGTCTCATAAGATTTGGGTTTGTTTCTATTTCTATTTCAATGCACTTGAAAATATTCTATAGTATTACATGTATTTGTAAATTAAGATTTACCTTATTTTCAAAAAGTTAAAATTAAGAGAATATGAACCCACCAAAAATTGTGTATGAGTACAAGTACTGTTATTGTGGTTTTATTTACTAAGGGTGTGATATTGACGTCACAATACTGAATAGCCGTATCAGCCCTGCAGGGCTGATATGGATTTGCAGGGCTGATACGGATATCAGCCCCGCAAATCCATATCAGCCCTGCAGGGTTGATACGGCTATTGTGACGTCAGCCATATCGCATATGCGAAAAAACTGTATTTATTACTAAGTGTGTAATAATTGTTTTATATTGCTTTGCTATTCATAAAATTGCATTGATAAACAAAAAATGTAAATATTATATGTAATTTTATTATACTGCATTTTCAATATGATTTCTTTTTCGTATAATTCTATAGCTAGTCGTCTGCAATCATTTTATTTTACCAAATGAGTATTAATAGTAATGACTGTTTGAAGCCACTTGAAGTTACATATTTTTCATATAAAAAAACGATAACCTCCTAACTGACAATTTAAGTGTGACACGCCTTTTCCTTGCACTGCATATCCTCGAAAGACTGATCATAAAAATTCGATTGAATAGAATTTATTTTAGGGAAATTCAGACAAAAATTTAGGTTGTTATGATCGCCCTACAAATAAATAAAATGGCGGCGATGTATACCCTGTGAATTATTAGTTAAGAGGTTATATTTAAAAAATGGGGGTGTAGAGTGGCTGTTTTAATGTCGATGCATAAATAGTGAAAAAAGGAGATTCTCTGATTGATAAAGAATACAGAGTTGATATTCCTGGTTTGATAATGGTATCGTACAATGTATGTCTTTTTACATTCAAGACTTGG